AATTCACGCAAAGTTATGTCTTTATTGGGACAGGACTTGACGGATTATTTTACGTGACTCCGTGAGTTCGTCTCCATTTCTTCGAGCCAAGCTGCATAAACTGCATATCAGGCATTTATGTAATACATCTAATTTGTGCATGAATGGCTGTTATGTTAAATAAAGTTTACTAACTACAGTAAATCAAGTACCCGTGCATGCCATTGTTGTTGTCTTGTTTCCCCTCAGATGCGCTGCAATGGTGATCCTGAGGGCAATTCTCAAAACATCCACAAGATGGCCATTTATCGGTGAATCCGATATTACAAAACCGATACCCCTAACCATAGCCCATAACAAAGACATCTCAAACAATGTCATCTTTGCATTAAAAATTACATAACTGAGCGAATGACACTTAATGACAGTTGTCATAAACATGCATAAAACCTCCTTCATATTCATGACATGTGTCATGTCTTGATTATGAAGGTGTCATGTCAGTCTTATGCACACCCCTTCAAGTAAAGTGTTACCACTCTTCTATTTAAATTATTATTTTTAAGTTTACTGAGTGACGTAAAGTGGTCACCTCGTTGCTCTAACCGACATTCAGAAGAATCCATGCAACATGGCGGATAATCGCAAGCGACCGGAGCAAACTTAATGGAACAACTTGCAAGTAAATCAAAACAACTGTAAAAATTTCTTATTTGCTTTTTGAGTGTTGTAAGAATATCATGATAAAGGAATGTTTTCATTTCTGGGAAACACTGTTTTTACACAGCGCTGTAAAGCGCGGCATTTCCCTTTTACACAGCACTGTAAAGCGCGGCATTTCCCTAGTGCTTTTGAATGCGCATTTTGAATGCTATTTTAGCGTCACTGCTAATAGTATAATGTTAACATCAAAGAAGGGCACTAATGTTAACGTTAGCCGGCATTTTTTCAGTAAACACAGTCCTAACGTATGTTTTGAATGTCGTTGCTGTTAACTGCGATGTTTAGGGCTGTGTTTCTCAAAAGCATCGTGAGCTAAGTCGATTGTTGAGACCATTTGGTGGCAAATGTTTCTACGATCATCTTAGCCATACAATGCTTTTTTTGGGAAATGCCCTGGTAAATGTGATTTTTATTTGGTCTGTTTTTAAACAACTAGCTGCTAAGAGTATTAATCCAAAATGGTTAAAGCTAATAAACTGACATGAATTTTGCAATATATTAAATTTACAAAAGCAATCTACAAACTTGTAGAAAACCTTTACAAACTTTCTTTAATTGCAGGCTGAGCTGGATGATGAATACAAAAGAGTGAGCCTCAACACTTAAGGTAACTTCTATTCAGTTGAAGAGCAAGTTGTGTGATGTGTCCTCACATAACAGGACACAGACTCGGCTTTCTCTTTTCAACATCCATTGCTGGTTATATACTCACTTGTGCGTGTTTGTGGTTAGGTTTGTGCTGAGTTTCACCATATCAGAGAAAGTGGCACACACCAGCAAGATTTCACAGATGTTGCATGACATTCGAAATGTTTGCTCTTCAGGTGAGTGCAAATTCACAAACACTAACTACCTCCATCACTGTCTTCATTGTATATAAAATAAAGTTGGCCTGCTTGTTTAACATGTTTATTTTTTTTGTTTACATGATGTCAACATGCAACAACACAGTGTACGTGTGTGAGGAGAACTGTTCTTCAGGACATGAACTGTAAGTATTAAGTGCATTAATAGATCTGAAATAGAGTGGGAGAACGATGACGTCAGAACCAGGAAGTGTAATTCGCAGCGGGTTCCTTTGAGATTTTCCTATGGGGTTTTTCAAATTATGAATAAAATCAAGCCTGTGGTAAACATAACTTGACGATACTTCTACGTTTTGTTCTACAATATAAACTGCACACACTCACAGCCTAAACCTTCTTATCTAGCTACTTATTAAAAACGTACGTTTTCAAAAATGAACATAACTGCTTCAAAATTTGTATTTTGGGTATGGATGTGTGTAATTTACGTTGTACAACAAAATGTAAAAGTATCGTCAAGTTATGTTTACCACAGGCTTTATTTTAA